GGAAAGGAACCTCAGAGATCATTTGCGGAAAACTCCATTTTATGTGAGGAATTGGAGCCCAGAGACATGAAATGATTTGCTCAAATTCACGTGGTTATTTACGTGATAAGAGCCATCATTTCTCGGCACCTTCTGACTTTTCTTTCAGAATTTTTCTTGCACAGTAAGCGCTCAATGTGAGCTTTTGTTGGGATTTCCCTTCCCAAATGAAACTAGCTTTATTGTATTATATTATATACATGTATATAATACATATGTATACATACACACACACACAAATGATAAAAACAGCATTCATGCTTGAGGATCTGTTTCGACACGTAACATTTCTGATGCCAAATGTGTGGGGTTTCCACACCAAGCAATTCTCCAGTTCTCTGTGGAGACCAACAAGGTATCCTCCGATTTAATTCAATTCTGACACTAACTTCCTGGAGTGAGTGCAGACCCCAGAGGTCAAGGGCTCAGTCCCACCAGACTCCCCCCATTCCACTGCTTCAAATGCTAGTCACAACTAGTAGGTCCCCAGATTACCTGCACTTCTATCTGACTTGGCCACAAATCACGGGTTCCCATGACCCCTTCCTCCTCAGGTTTGAAAAATTGCCGGTAATAAATGGCTCTCAGAACTCAGGGAAACAGTTTACTTACTATTACCAGTTTATTACAAGGCTATTATAAAGGATACAGGTGAACATCCAGATGAAGAGATATGTAGGGCAAGGTCTGGAAGGAGCTTCTTCTGACCCTACAGAGTTTGGGGTGTATCACCCTCCTGGCCTATGGATGCTTCTCCAACCCAGAAGCTCTCTGAACCCCATTTTCTTTGGCTGTGCCACACGGCTTGTGGGATCTTAGTTCCCCGACCACGGGTTGAACCCGGGCCCCAGCAGTGAAAGCCAAGGCTTAACCACTGGACCGCCAGGGAATTCCCCTGGATCCCATTGTTTAGGATTTTTATGGAGGTTGTATTACTTATGCACAATTGATTAAATCATTGGCAACTGGTGATTAACTCAATTCCCAGCCCCTGTCTCCTCCTAGGAGGTTAGAGGTGAGCCAGTGATCTGTGAATCCTTCCAGCACACAGACCCTATGCCTCTGATCCTTGTGACATGTTGGAAGAGAGCTTGCTGTGTGCATCCATTCTTCATCTCCTTCCCACAGCCTTCTCCTTGGGCAAGGATTTCTATCCAACTGTGAGCTTCTTATTCACTTACACTAATAGGTCCTTGTCACTCCAGTTGACAAGTGTCCCCATCTCCTGCACTTTAATCCTCTAATCCAGTTATTTCTGTTTTAGGAGCATAAACAAAGCTCTTCTGGTTTGCCCTTTTGATTCCCCATTGCGTAAGCTTCCCTATTCCTCCTTGCAGTTAAAGCAAGAGAAATCAGACCAGGATCTCAGCTCATGTTAATCCCTTTCCATTTTTGCAAAAGCGACTAATGCTACACGAGCCCTCAGAAGCATTTTCTTCAGGGCTCCACCACTTTGAGAAGCAGCAAAGCTTGTCTTTGTGTTGTCCCTACCAGTGGTGTGCTGCTAAAATACATACATAAGGAAAGAAACAAACAAATAAACCTGATTTGTAGCTTTTGCTGATTTCCAATTTCTGTGGTGTAAATGCTCCCCTTGTGACAGATTTCAAGCAACCAATGGTTTTATAACTTTTACCACCAGGCTGAAAATTTCCTGAGTATTTAACAATTGGCTTTTGAGAGCATATAAGAACTGACTCCAGCACATCACTGGCAGGGCTGCCCTCCAAATCTCCAGGGCACCCCAGTGAATGCCCACCTTGTTCTCCTTGCATTGTCATTGACTGACACAATTCTATCATTACTGAGCACTCACCATGGCCCACACTTTCCTGGGGACATTGCATACCTGATCTCATTTAATCCTCACAAAATCAACTATCCCTAGCTCCACTTCACATGTCATGGTTATGCTGGGAGAATATCACCCTCCACTTGGCCTGAGTGAGAATAAACATAGGACACTACACCTGTTGGGCAAAGCAACACACCCCTCTCAGAAATATATTTTTTAACACAATGAGTTCTTTTAAGCATAACGTTTTTCCATTACAAAAGTAATGAGCCACTTTGTAAAGAAAATTGGAAAGCAACTATTCATTCTCATATATTTTTAGAATTATTTGGTGTCATGGTAGGGTTCATGATACATTGCATTTTAAGTGTGGGATATAGTACAGTAGCATGCAATACGATACCAATTCTATTTTAAAAAAAAAAATATATATATATATATATAAACGAAATACCAGAAATAAAGAAAAAACGTCTTAACAGTAGTCATCTCTGAATAGTGGGAAGTAAAGATTTTTCTTATTTTCTTTTTTACAGTTTCTGTATTTTCCATAATTAATGCATCAACATGTATTACAATTTTAATGAGAAAAATATAATACGTATGATCTTAATTTGGACAATATAAAAATGAAATGAATTGAGACAATTGTTCTCTTCTGACTTGAAAATCTTTCCATTCTGATTTAAGGTAATGTTTTTGCAAGAGATTTAATTTAAAAGAAATAGCACCGATGAGCATGGGCTCTGCAGTTCTCTGCCCAGGGAGGTATCGGGGACTCTCCCTAGCCCTTAACCCTCAAGGAACTCTCCCATGTGCCTCTTTATATTATCTCTAATTTTCACAAAAACCCTGAAAGATGAATATGGTTAATCCCATGTTAGAAAGGATGAAACTAAGAAACTCATTCTCCATGAGGACAGGTGTTGTCTCAAATATCATGTCGCCACAGAAAGCATCTTTGTATGGGAGGCCTAATGGTCAAGAGCATGGCCTTCCACCAGGCAGCATCAAGTTCCAGGCCCAGGACTGGTACTCTCGGGTACATCTCCGTGGGCAAGATGTTGAACTAAGCTTCCGTTTCTCATAAAATAAAGATTAAAAGATAATTTCCCTTAAAGGGTTGTTGTGAGAATTAAATGACATATTGTTCAAAGCCCTTAGCACGATGGTTAGCTACAGGCTGCCGCCGCGCTGAGGTTGGAACATGGATATATCTGGCTACAAAGTCCACAGTCTCCACTCTGCAAAACTTCTTTTCTCCAGCAGGACTCCTCTTCTCTGTGAGGATTTTGGTTTTTTTTCATCCAGGTCAGGGAACTTTGCCTTGCTTCCAGCAGAGCAGCCCCAACCGTCACCAGGGCGTTTTTGTCTATGTGAGGTAAGGTGTTTGCCGGGGACCTGGGGCTGGGGGCTGCGGGCTGCGGGCTGAGTGCTGGGAATTGGGGGCTGGTGGCTGGGAGCGGCCTTCTCTTCAGCCGTGTGGTCTCCCAGGAACCTGGGGGCTCAGGATCCTTCTGCCTGGCAGGTGGATGGAGGACAGGACCAGCTCTCTCTGTCCCTCTAGGAACTCCTTTCTCTCTCCAGGTCGAGTCTCCTCCTTGCTGACCAAGCATCTTGAGCAGCTGGATTTCAGCTGCGTCCTTTCCTCTGGGGGAATCTCTGCCAAGCTGCCAGGACCTGAATTTCCGTGTTTACCCTTTCCCTGTTACACCTTCCTCAGGCAGGTGGTCTCGCCCGCCGGGCACCAGAAAATGTCAGAGCGCTGGCTGGGAACACGCCCTCCCGCTAGCGAGCAGGCAGCTCCCATGCTCTTTAGTCTCTGGAGCAGCCCTGCCAATTAGCTTGTACACTGCCCACATGCCCAGGGCTAGAAGGGAAGCAGGCCACGCTAAGCAAAACCAGACAATGGGCTCCCAGGACACCGAGGGCGGCGGGAGCACCTGCTGTTCTCTCCTCTGGGATGAGGTTGGGGTGGGGTTGGAGGGGGGGCTTGCAGGGAGGGGGTCCAGCTGTGCACTCGCCCCAGGAAGTTCTTCCTCCACATTCCAGATGGGACTCCAAGGGGGCCGCCCAGAGGAAGGGGGTGGGAAGGGGATCTCTCCGGGCCCGGAGGTGTTGGCGCTCACACCTGAGGGCAGTCACATTTCTGTTCAGCCAGGAAGAATGCCTTTAGAGCAGGGCTGTGGCTTATCCATCTCTGTGTCCTGCGGGGTCCCCGAGACTGCGCTGGCCACTGAAACGGTGCGGGTGGAGGGCAGTGTGTGCGATGGTTGAGGACAAGAACTGTGCGAGCTCTCGTCCCACCTCCCTTGCTTGCCCGCCCTGTAACCTCAGCTACTTGGCTTCTCAGGCAAGGTTCCTTCCTCGAAAAAGCAGGGAGAATAAAAATGTCTACCTCACAGTGTTACTGTGAGGATGAAAAGCAATGCAATGTGGGAACACTTGGCACATAGAAAGCACTCAATAAATTGTGGCCGTTTTATTTACAGAATCCATGTAGTCTCTGTTTATAGATTTACTGGACTCTCTTCCGGGATGAAGAAAAACATAAACCTTACCAAGGCAATATTTTATCTCCGAGGGTAACTGAAGCACCGGAAGTCAGAAGACCAAGATAAACAGGAAGATTTAATGAACATTCTCAGAGACCCCTCAGGTGTCACACACTGGGCTAGGTGCCTTATGAGTGATACCTCATTTTATATGGCAAGTAATATTTCTGAAAGATCAGGCAGCTAAAAGTCAGACAGCTTGCTGCCACATTAAAGAAACAAAAGAAATGTTCATACTGGAATGCCTGCTGTGTCAAGACACCTAATTAGAAAACAACGTCATAGTGAATAGTAGACTGGGACGTTCCTGGTGGCGCAGTGGATAAGAGTCCACCTGCCAATGCAGGGGAAACGGGTTCGAGCCCTGGTCCGGGAAGATTCCACAGGCTGCGAAGCAACTAAGCCCATGCACAAGAACTACTGAGCCTGCGCTCTAGAGCCCGCGAGCCACAATTACTGAGCCCGTGTGCCACAACTACTGATGCCTGCGTGCCTAGAGCCCACGAGTCACAACTACTGAGCCCTCGTGCTACCAGTACTGAAGCCCGCGTGCCTAGAGCCTGTGCTCCGCGACAAGAGAAGCTGCCGTAGTAAGAAGCCCGTGCACCACAATGAAGAGTAGCCCCCGCTCGCCTCAACTAGAGAAAGCTCGCACGCAGCAACAAAGACCCAACGCAGCCAAAAATAAATGAATAAATTTTTTAAAAATTGTTTAAAACAAAATAGTAGAGCAAGTCTCCAGCTGTGCCAGAAGAGCTAAAATAAATGTGCCAACAGGGGAGTCCCAGAGTAAAGTCAATTATCATCCTGGTGATTCCGCTGATTCCACATGCACGACTCGGAGGTCTGACAGAACTAGACATGTGTTGGGTCTTGGTGTCATGCTAAACGGTAGTGCTTCCAGACACACTTGTCATATCGCCGAGAGAATCCTATTCCAGTCGGAGATCTTCACATCTGTTGAACTTGTCTAATTATAAAGAAACATCATGGTAACTCAAACCACCAAAATAAAACGCTTTGACAATGACGAAGCAACAACGGGATGTTGGATTTATAGAGAGATTTTTATTTCCAGCTCATCGAGACATTTTACAAAGGAAAGGTAATCATTTCACAAAGATTATCTTCACCTTCCATATTGGGACTCAGAGACATATTCTTACAGAGACAGTGCTGGTATCATTCATTCATTCATTCATTCCATCTCTTATTTTTCCATTCATTCAACCATGTGAGTTGAGTGCCGTTTCATAATGGGTAGAGGTAGGGTGACATAAAATGCCAGATAAGAAATGGTACATTCCTTTAGGAGCAAAGTCTGTTAGGGAATAACCCAGTGGCAAAGACTGGCAGTTATGCAAACAACTGTGAGCCAGGTTTATGCTAGGATGGGATGTCTGTGCTAAGAATTTTGACATTTATCGTGCAGGTGATAATGGCACTATCGAAGGATTGTGGGCCTGGGTGTGAGCACGCGGAGCAAGTGGTATGCAGGATGGAGGAGAGGCAAGGAAGCCAGTTAGGAGGTGAGTGCAGTCACGCTTCATGGAGTCTACTCCCACTCCCTGGCTGCCTCATTATCAGTTCCCTTCTCCACCCATGGCATCCAGGCCTTTCCTCCACCTCTTGGCTGAAACTATGTTTCCTATGTCATGAATGAACTTCTCCTGGCCAAAGCCCAAAAACTACTTTCCCAGTTTTAGCTTATCAGATCTCCCTACCCCACTTGCATGGTTAGCCACTAACTCTAGCTGAAGACGTTTCTCCGAGCACAGCCTCTTGCTGCTTTATCTCCTACTTCTCCCGGAGGCTGCTGCTCTGGTTCAGATTTTTCATGACTTGCCCGTCAACAAGGCCTGGTGTTTGTAAGTCACATCTAAAACTCTCCCTGGGAAATGTCTTGCTCGTATTTGCAACTTCTGCAGCTAAAATCCCTCCTCTGTAGATCATCTATTAATAAAGAGAATCTGAAAATGAGGGCTCTCTGAGGGAAATTTTTATCACACAGGAGGTCTCAGCATTATATTATCATGAATCCATCTCTACTTATCTATCTTAAGATGATTTGGGGTCAGATAAACAGCGTCCTCCTCCACTTTGCCCTGGTCAAGCTGTACTGGGGCCTATTGGTGCCTACCATTGAACTAGTAGATTGAGTAGTTAAGAAGAGCAGGACGCAGAAGGAGACTTTCTTTCTGAAAGTCTTTAGAGAAAGATCTAATCTTCCGGGTGACTTTTTGATGAATGAAGGTCATTTAAACATCATCTCTGGGCTTTTAAAACTATGTCTGGTCCCTCAAGAGATGTTCTGCTTCTCTCTGGTCTCCATAGTGAATTGTTGACTAAAACACGAAGGGAAGCTCCATGGGGGTTGGAACCTCACTTTGTTCATTGCTGTTTGCCTATGACCTAGAAAAGCACCTGGTACAGACTACGGACTCATAATTAGGTGCAGAGTGTTTCATGTTTGGGGAGATGCGAATGGTCCCCACGTGTTCCTAGTTTGTCAACACAAGGGAAATAACAATAACAAAAACTTTGGGTAAACTGTTGAGATCATGGATTAAGAGAATTTAGAAGAGGTCACTTTAGAATTTATCAGCTTCAAATCTTATGTAAACTTATTATGGCCTCCAAAAAACTTGAATCTTTGTGGGAGGCCCAGGATTTGGCAATTACAACCACCAATGAGGTAAGACCCTGGGACATAATCAACCAGGCATGAACTGGCCAAATGTAAACACGGAAGCTCAAATCGAGACAGACACCTTTCTTCTTTCAGCTCTTTGACCTCAGCACAACTGTCTTAAAATTCGTAGATCACAGGCTCCTCTCTGATTGGATTTTCATCGTGTCTTCTCATAGAGTTTAGTTTATTGTAAAGACTCAAAAAAAAAAAGAGTAATCTTCGAATAAAGACTTTCCACCTGAGACTGTTTGTCGTCTGCTCTGCCAGGTAGGGTCCCAGGCAACCCGCTTACCAATCTGAACCTACTGGACGGTACAATGAATGGAGTTTATTCCCTTTGAATTAGTGTCCTATCCGTTTGCTAAACATGTTACCCAGATGCTGTGCTTGTTTCCTTCCTGGTGAGGGTCAGCTTGAAATTTCCGGGGCTGCTTGGCCTGATTCCAGGCCCATGGAGAACTGATAGCTTCTTGATCCACTTGTGCAGGAATCTCTCATGAACAGTAGGTAAGATGGTCTGTTGTCCCCAGGTTGAACTTTTCTCAACCTTTCATTCTGTAGCTTGAAATCAGTTTTTGGATTTAGCTGTTATATTCAAAATAGAAGCCTGATAACCGATTCTTATCATGAACAAGCATTTTACACCACCTTCAGAGTTGGAGTCAGTTAAGTATTGTTTCTGGAAAACACGCACAATTTTCTTTTTTTAGTCAAGGAGTGGTGCCAGATCGAACAATGTTATGTTTTATGCCCTTTGTTAAAAATACGTGCTGATTTATGGCCCCTTTATGATCCTGGCAAAGAATGGCTGCATTCCCACCTGCTGTTGAGAACAGAAAAGAGAGTGCTCTCTTGGGCACTGGTGATCAGGAACCAATTGTGTGGCTTCTACCTCTCTGCCTTCTGGTAGAATGGCTTAGCAACAATTGCTGCTAAGCCCAAATCATTTTTGGCATATGTTCTTAAAAACATAATGTATCTATTTACAACTCCAGATAGCAGGTGAGCTCATTCAATTTCCTAGAGTTTCATTTTGTAGTAGGAAAGAATCTTTGTATTCTATTACAAGTTAATCACTAAGGGGATGTTGCCTGTAAGCTTAAATTATACATAATGGCCCATCTCTGGGAACCCTGCCTCCCAGGTAATGAGTATTAAGCTAAAATACCATCATTTAGCGCACATGAAGCATCTTGACCAGGCCCACCTGTGAATGACTGCAGGCAGGAAGAAATTAACACGACCCCTCTGGAGGCTGACGGGAACCAGGAAGTGTTTGGCTTTACTCCCTCCCCTTTTAGTATAAAAGAAGCCTGAATTCTAACTCAGGTAAGATGGTTCTATGGGGCACAAGCCCACCATCTTCTCAGTCTGCTGGCTTTCCGAATAAAGTCGCAATTCCTTGCCCTAACAACTTGCCTCTCAATTTATTGGCATGTTGTGTGGTGAGCAGTATGAGCTTGGACTCAGTAACAATTTTTGGTGGGCAGCTGGCCCCAGTTGGGGAATTTTGGGGTAAGGTTCTAGCAGCTGCCAGGAACACTTGTCCTGAGGACCTGCCCTTCAAAGTCGAAGCAGCACCCGCTGCCCCAGAGCTTGGCAGTTGGATCAAGGAATCAACATTTAAGAACCAACAGGCTCCATACACTAGGGTAAGTCGCTCCGGTGTGTGCAGCTGGAAACTTTATTTTCTCTCTGTTTGGGGCTTTTGCTCCAGAATAAGCAAGTTTGTTTTGTATTTGAGTGGGGTACCCTGTTGGAAAGAGGGAAGGTTTGTTGGACTTTTACCTGATTTGTGAACCAATTCATTTCTTTGGATGCTAGCATTTGTGTGTGCTGTTTGTGTTTTGTCTTGTATTCCTGTCTCAAAAAATGGGGAATACTTCAACTATCCCTAAAAAGTCCTCTGAGGCACATTTTGCATAAGTGTTCTGATTACAGCCATGAATCCATGAGTGAGAAGATACTATTTTATTGTAGGTGCTATTTTATTGTAACAATGTGTAGCCACAGTACCTGTCAGGATCTCCAGAGGGGTTTAGGCAGGATTATCTTGGGACCCTGTGCACCATGTACTGCTACCCTTGCTGTGTTAATTACATCGTTTGCAGTCTCCTGTGTCGGTGGTATACGTAAAACCCCAAGACCAAACTTGAGGGTTTATTTAGGATTTTCTGTTTTGTTCTTTGGGTTGTTCATTTCAGTTTGTTTGGTACTGTTTCTCCATGTACAACCAAATCAGTTTTGTGATATTTAAAACGTTTACTGATGCCAAATGGGGGAAAGGAACAAAAAAGAAAAAACCTGTCTATGGGACATTCCCAAGGAGAAGAGAAAAGTTCTACTTGGTTCCTAAAATCACCAAAAGCCCTAGCCCAGAATTCAGCCTGGTTGGTTGATGCCAAGGCAAAAGGGCATCCTTTTAATGGTTAGAGATGATCAATTGCTATTTATGGTTTTACAGTGGCTTTTGAATGACTCTATAGCTATTTTCTGAAGTGGGGAAGAATGACGAAGTCCTTTATATGCAAGCATTTGTGCTACTACATCAAGGAAAGTAAGGAAGGGAATGAAAGGGAGGATATGTTGCTTCAAACCTTAATTCCTCCACCTGGGCTAGCAGTCTTAGCCGCTCTGATATATCCACTCCTTCCCCCACCTTCCATTCATATCTAGCCCCAGTTCCTAACACTGGGGCTCAGGACTGCCCCTCCTTATAGGGACCAATTAGAAAATCCTGTGTTAGTTCCTGGGTTACAGGGATTTGGTCTGGTATTGCCATCTAAGACCTGACAAGGCACCCAGTTTGGGCCAGGAGCCACTCTGGGGCAGAGCAATTTCCTTTATGTTTTTATCTCATGGGAGGCTAAATGCAAATGACCAGCCGCCTGGGTTTCTCAGACTTGTTTAATTGGGAAGATCGCAAACCTCCTTACAGGAGGATCTTCTACACTTGAAGCCCATTTGGCAGTACCCACAGCTGAACCAAATTGGGAGCCCAATGAGGGAGGAATACCAGTATTAGGGCACTGCTTCTTTGTGCATCTTTGGCAGGGCTTTAAAAAGGGGAACCAAAACAAAAGAGTTTGAACAGAATTCAAGAAATTCAGCAAAAAAACGAAGATCCCTCTGAATTTTTGGAAAAGATTTATCAGGCCTACAGACAGTATACGAACGCAGATCCTGAGGCCCCTGAAAATATTAGAATGGTAAACTTGACCTCTTTGGGCAAAGTGCCTCAGATATCAGGAGAAAGTTGCAAAGATTAGATGATGCATTTGGAATGAACCCTTCTCAATGGGTAGATGTTGCTTTTAAAGTGTTCAACAGGGAACAGCGACAGAAGGAAGATGCAAAACGAAATGCCACTTTCGGGTCAGCAGCATTGGATTCCCGGAAGATGAGTAACCCCGAGAGAGAAGTCACCATTGGGGAAGGAACGATGTGCTACCAAAAGGAGGAAGAACATGGGAAAACAGATTGCCTAGACGAAAACATAAGCTAAAATACCATGAAACATCCTGACAAAGCCCTCCTGTGAATGACTGCAGGAAGAGAGAAATTAAACTTCCCCTCCAGAGGCTGCCTGGCCAGGAAATGTTTGGCTTTACTTCCTCCCCTTTTAGTACAAACGAAGCCTGAATTCTAGCTCAGGCAAGATGGTTCTTTGGAACACAAGTCCACCATCTTCTCGGTCTGCTGGCTTTCTGAATAAAGTCACTATTCCTTGCCCCAACAATTTATCTTGCGATTTATTGGCCTGTCATGTGGTGAGCAGTATGAGCTTGGACTCGGTAACGATTTCACAACCAATTTCTACTGGAAGGAAACATTGCTGTTTAAAACGAGATGTGTGACAGGTATGTTAGAATTTTTCTGTAGATGAGGTAAATGTTTGCTAATTAGTATTCTGAATTTTTCTTCATTGTGCTCTCTGGTGAAAAACTTGAGATTCTCCTGTGTGTGTGTGTGTGTGTGTGTGTGTATTTTTTGGAAAAATCTTAATTATTTTATAAAAAGACTCTTGGTCCTGCCCACGTGATATGCCTCCCTCCATCCTTTTTCTTTCTTCCTTTCTCAAGTCTTTCAACACCCATTATGTGTACCAGGCACTGTGCTAGGCACACAAGACAATGGTAAACAAAAGTGGCACAGATTCCTTCCCCCTAATAATTTTACTCATGTTGAATTAAGAGTCTTACGTTCAGTTCCTTAATTTTTATCAGAAGAGTCAAGCCTTATTTCCCGCTTGGCTGGTCTTGAAATCACATGGACCTGCCTTCTGCAA